TATATATATATAGAGAGAGAGAGAGAGAGAATGGAAGCAGAAACACACAATGAAATGCCTCATTAGTAAAAAAGATCGCTATTTCCAGAAATCTCCGATCGAATCTCAATTGCTTTGAATTCAACCTTAAGTCAATTTCAAGATTAGAGATGAATTTCTTAGAGATTTCAGGAACCGTAGGGTTTTTTCCCTTCTTTTTTAATTCGAAAATATTATTTTCTTTGTAATAATTTATTTTATTTATTGAAGCTCTTTATTGACAATGTTTTCTAAAGCCTTAAACCTTACTTAATTTTTAAAATCCTAAGTTGACAAAGTTGGAGTTTATTAAAGTATGAGTTTCTTTGAAACTTCTCTCTTGAATATTATTATTTTAGACTTAATCATACTTTCTCCACTTGATTTATATGATTTTGGGGAGGATTCTAGGAGCAGCTCAAGGAGACGCATAGGACTTGATTATTCTCAATAAGTTTTAATGTTAGCTATGATAGAATCTTAAACTAGACTTTCTAAACTTTGATTGGAGATTTGAATCACCCAAAAAGGAATTTTGTAACTTAAGTTATGAATTTTTTAAGATGTTAGAAAAACAGTCAAAGAACCCAACCTGGACAAGTTTGATTCTGTTGAATATTGGGAATCTTTGGAGATGAATTTGAATGAACAGGTTAAATAATTGAAAAAAAAAAACATCTGAAACTTCGTATAGCCGCAAGAATGACCTCAAACAGAACACTATAGTTCAAGTTATGCATTTTTAAAGCTAAGCAAGATTTCTAGAAATTCTGCAGAAAATAGCCACGTTTTGATCTGGTATAATGTGTTTTTGGAGACACTAGCAGACCTGAAACTACGCTTATGATATCTCTTTGGAAAGTGCTAGATGTCTACTTCGATTAAGCACTGAGTTTGTAATTTTTGGGGCTGTGTAGAATATTTTATGATGATTCCCGTAACAGTCGCTAAAGCTGTCTATTTTAGGAATTGATAAAACAAAGAAACTGAGACTCCTACTTTTTGAAATATGACTGCTGCACCTAAACCATTGTTACTACCATTTAGACCATATTATTAGTGACGTGTGGGAGTTAGAATCACGTCATTTGGAGTTTTGTAACTCGAGTTGTGCAGATTGAAAGTTTCATGTAGAACCTTCTCAAAAGCTATCAAAACCAGGAAAGAATAGAATTTTGATTTATTGAAAACTGTTTTTGACGCATTTAGAGAGCACGGATTTGAGCATATGATACCCCTCGACTTTTACATGGTTATAATTTTATCCTAAATATTCTAAACTTTATAAAAAAAAAAAAGCACATGCTAAATTTTCATACTTATTTTAACTATTATGTGGAGAGAGTGTTTCTAAAAGACAATTTTGAGTTCAAAATCTTATTTATTAGAACTTCTTATAACAAATACATTTGAGAGGACATTTTAATAATGTTGCATAATGGTTAAAATTTGATTTTACATTGGAGAGGACATTTTACTAATTTTGCATAGTGGTTCAAATCTGATTTTAAGATCCAAACATCTCACTTCTAATTCTTTTTATCATCTCTCATTCCCTCTCTCTCACGTTAACTCTCTCTCTCCCCCTCCCACTCTCTCGCATTCTCTCTCTCCCTCACTCTCTCTCTATTTCGGTTCTCCCTCTCGTTCTCCATGAGAGGCGTTGTCCAAGCTTCCAAAATAGAGGGCTTTCACTCTATTTTTGATGGGTAATTCAACCTTGAAGTCAATGTCAAGATTAGAGATGAATTTCTTAGAGATTTCAAGAAGCTTGAGGTAGGGTTTTTTCCTTTCTTCTTTAATTCGAAAATATTGTTTTCTTTGTAGTAATTTGTTTGGTTTAGTGATGCTCTTTATTGACAATGTTTTCTAAAGCTTTAGACCTTACCTAATTTCTAAAATCCCAAATATTCAAAGTTGGAGTTTATTAAAGTATGAGTTTCTTTAAAATTTCTCTCTTGACTGTTATTATTTTAGACTTAATCATACTTTCCCCACTTGATTCACATAATTTTGAGGATGATTCTAGGAGCAGCCCACGGAGAAGCATAGGACTTAATTATTTGCAATACGTTTTAATGTTAGCTATGCTATAACCTTAAAATAAACTTTTCAAGCTTTGATAGGAGATTGGAATCACCCAAAAACGAATTTCGTAGCTTAAGTTATGAATTTTTCAAGTTGTTAGAAAAATTCTCAAAGAACCTAACCTGGACAGGTTTGATTATGTTGAATTCTTGGAATCCTTGGAGGTGAATTTGAATGAATAGGTGACAGAATTAGAAACTAGACATCCTAAGCTTCGTATAGCCGTAAAAATCACCTGAAAGGGACAACTATAGTTCAAGTTATTCATTTTTAAAGTTAAACATGATTTCTAGAAATTCTGCAGAAAAACTGCCACGTTTTGTTATGGTATAATGTGTTTTTGGAGACCCTATCAGACCTAAAACTATGCTTATGATAGCTCTTTAGAAAGCCCTAGATGTCTACTTCGATTAGGCTATGATTTTGTAATTTTTTGGATTGTATAGAATATTTTATGATTATTCTCATAACAGCCGCTAAAGCTGTCTTTTTTAGGAATTGATAAAACAAAGAAACTGAGACCCCTACTTTTTGAAATAGGATTGTTGCACCTAAAACACCGTTACTACCATTTAGAACATATTATTAGTGACTTGTGGGAGTTGGAATCATGTCATTTGGACTTTTTGTAACTCGAGTTGTGCACATTGGAAGTTTCATGTAGAAACTTCTTAAAAGCTGTCAAAATCAGGAAAGAATAGAATTTTGATTTCTTGACAACTGTTTTTAAGGCATTTAGAGAGCTCGGATTTGGGCATATGATACCCCTCAAGTTTTACATATTTATAATTTTATCCTAAATATTCTAAACTTTATAAAAAATAAAAAAAGCCCATGTTAAATTTTCATACTTATTTTATCTATTATGTGGCCGGAGTGTTTGTAAAAGACAATTTTGAGTTCAAAATCTTATTTATTAGAATTTATGTTGAGAATAGTGTCCTAGAAGCATGAGATATAATAGGATATTTATTATTTAATTAATAAAATAGTTTATTCATCATTTTATGTGCATATATTTATGAATATCAAATGAAAATTCCGTGATTGTTTATGTAACCTTAAACATAGTATATAAGTGTTATATATGAGAGGATAGTGTTTAAGGATAATAATAAAAAATATTGTTCATGATGAATTTAATTAAAGTTCAGAATCTTTAATTAAAACATTATTAATACATGTCATTCCCATTTAGAATGGAACGGTGTTATCCGCACTGTTAATATGGCGAGATATTGAATGAGTGTATTTCGCATAATAAGATTATGTGGAACAAGGACACAGACACAATATGAATTTCTAATAATTTTCGTTAAGCATAGAAATTCTAATTGAGTCTACCGATGATCATATATAGGATGATCTTAATCCTGAGTTCTTAACAAACTCCTATTTATGGATTTATGTCTTTTAATTTACTCAGTACGGATTCCGAGACCCTGAATCCTATTCCTTGTATTTTGGAGACATAATGAAATAGGTAGCTGGGAATGTTATTATACGAGATGGAATCCATTCCTTCTTGAGAAAGAAGTAGATGAATAATTCTCTTGAGTGTTGATTCGGTACTTGGATTAGTAAGAGCACTCTGGTTCATGAATGTTTTTTTATGAATCACTATCCGTTAGAGAATCAATGGTACTCAAGGATGCATATATAATTAGAGAGGTTAACGGATTCTACCTGACTCTAATTATGAATTATTTATGGAGGATTGATCTATATGTAATGACTATATCAAATGGACACTTCGCAGTTTAGAAGTAATTAATGTCTATAATTTCGAGAGTTCAATTCCAAGTTTATAGTGGAGTAACTATTGGAATTAATAGAATTAATAAATTAATTAAAGTGTTTAATTAATTATTAATTTTATTGGAGCTCAGAATTATAGGTCCATTAGCCCCCGCGTCGTCCTTGTAATTCTACCAGACACAAAGGGCAAAATAGGAATTTTAGAATTACGGAATTCTAAAATTAAATACTCGAAAAATAATTAATTGAGAATTAATTATTATTTAAATAATGTGATTATTTAAATTTGAATTTGAACACATCTAGATTTATCCATTTAAACTTATTTGATAAGTTGTTCAATTTAGAA